GGATGAACGGATGATCCGGCACTCTCGGCGCAGAGATGGGGGGCCCGCTGGCCGCTGGGTACCGATCCGGCGCTGGGACTGTGCTGGGCCCCCTAGAGGCCCGAGGCCCTGGTGCGTCCGCACCGGCGGTAGTTCTGCCACTGGTTGGATGAAAGTTACAACAGGTGCTTTAAAATTGGGCCTTTAGTGTTGGCGGTCCCTTCACACCGTAACCCTTCAGTTATTCTTAACGAGCGCAGGATTGGAACCTGCTCTAAAAATCCAAATTATATTGACCTGTAACACACCTGTCTCCCTGTTGGCCTTTCAGACATGATGCAGGGCTTATTATAAAATTTTATTAGAGAATGTGGGATGGGAAATTGGTGTTTGGGTGCAATACTTTAACAAATGTGGTGCTTGGTGCACTATAAACTGTTGTACAATGGCTTTTTATAGAAAAAAAAATGTTTAAAAAAATGTGAACTGCGACACGGAAGGGGGAGCAGCATTGAGGCAGCAAAAAAACCTGCTGCTGACAAAAAAGTACAAATAATCAAAGAAAAAAAAATGGGAACACCGGTGACGCCACAGACGCACACATAAAAAAAAAGACAGTGAATATACAACATAGAAAATAATACTATATACAGTACAGAGTACTGCACACTGAGTGGCCAGATTATTATGACCACCCCATCAGTACTTCGTTGGGCCACGAGATGACTCCACGAGATGACTTTGTTGGGCCGCCTCGTGACTCCACGAGATGTTGGAAGGTGATGCGAGGAATCTGACACTGCACTGTTGCCCTTCTGTTGTCTTTTACCAGTCTTGCCACGTCCGTTCTGCCCTTTTGCCCTAACATTGACTAGTCACTGCCGGCCACAATTCGCACTTTCAGACCCAGATTTTCGTCTGACAGCCCAGTCTTTAAGCACTTTAACAACAGCTGCTCTTGAACGTTTAACGAATTCTGCTGTTTTGCTGATACTCGCTCCATGGCTCCGAGCGCCAACAATCATCCCACGTTCAAAGGCTGTTAAATCGCGTTGTTTACCCATATCTTCAGAAAAAAATCACTTCTACTGTCATGGTAAACAACCTGCTTCCCTATTTATAATGGTCTGACCATCTAGCAACTTCAGCGCGAAATTATAGCTAATTTTCCTACAAACGTCAGGTGGTCATAATAATCTGACCACTCAGTGTATATAGCGTTAAATGCTGTATAAAGCACTGACACTTCACTACACTGACACCAGTTAGCTTTCACTTCACTGCACTACACTGCACTGCACTACACTACCCTACACTACATTAACAGAAACACTCTGTATTTAACTCCAGCAACACACTACGTAAGGCTGCCGTGTAAGCAGCCTTATATAGTGTGAGGCTGGGACTTAGCTGTGAGCCATGATTGGGCAAAGTCTTCATTACTTTGCCCAATCATGGCTCATACAGAGCTCTGTGCCCTGATCGGGCAAAGTCTTGCACCTGACCTGTGGTCAGGTGCATTGCTTTACCCCATCAGGGCTCTCCAATGCGCACAGTGCCTTGCGGGGAGCTCGGCAGGCAAACAGTCCGCTGAGCACCCTGATGGACAGACGAACTGCCGATGTTCGAGTCGATCGTGACATCAAGCCCATGCCTACTTGTGGATGCCATGCTGCATAGAGCCAGCGGCCTTTCGTGTACATGTGTTTTTAGAGCTGGTGTTGTCCCAGACTGGGGTCTTCCTCAATAACAGTTTGTGCAGCAAAAACCCATGGAAGAAAACAGGATTTTTGTAGTATTATTATTATTATACAGGATTTATCTAGCGCCAACAGTTTGCGCAGCGCTTTACAATATAAGGAAGACATTACAGTTACAATACAATTAAAGACAAGATGGTAAGGAGGGCTTACAATCTAAAAATTATTACCTGTAAAATCTATTTCTTGGAGTACATCATCGGACACAGGACTCTCCCCTTTGGTTTCTGTGATTCACTTTTATACTGCTTGTTACAATACTAAGGCAGGCTAGGAGTGGGAAGGCTTATACAGGGTTGACTTAGTAGCTTTGATTTGCCATTAACCAGGAACCTAAAGGTTGCAGAATTATATCTCCCTGTGCTCTTTGATGTATTTTTGTCTTATAGGTTAGAAAAAAAACCCTGTTATTTGCATTAACCCTGCAGGTGGGAGTGACTACTTTACCTTAAAGCTGAACTTCAGCCTTTCCCTTAGTCTTGCACAATTGTGCTTACTCACAGTGTACATTATGTGCTACAGCGAATCAGATAGGTCCCACCTCTTCCTTGAGAAAGTCCAACATCATCCTAGCTCTTTCCTTCCCAGCTTGACTGTCCTTGGCTCCCCTTTTATTAATTGGATTACATTTTTCTATTATGGAGTCTCAGCATTACATGTGGGCGTTACCTAGGGCATTCTGCCCACACCCACTCTTTCACATGAATAGTTTGTTTTTGAATATGATATTTCAGGGCCCTGTGTCTAAGGGTGACAGTCATGAACACTAAAGGTATGGTATTGGAAAGAGCTTGGTATTCATTGGCACCATCATTGAAAAATTATGCAACAGGTTTGCTTTAAGTGTATGTCTGTTGGTTGACTAAGTATTCGTAGAAAAGCTAAATTACAGATTGCATATAAATTTATCATCTTTTTTTTTAATCATTCTGTATTTTAGACCTGACAAGATCTGACTAATCAGTCATCAGTCGCATTTCCAGAAAAGATAGAATTTATACATCAAGTGGCCTTATGTAATTAATGCCTCTTGATGTATCACGTGGTGTATATCTTATGTGAGGACATGTTCTTCCACCCTCTTCAGGTTGTCCCCTCAGCGCTAGCTCTGGTTTTTAGGTATCTCCTTGTATTGTAAGAAGTTATAGTGTCCCAACGAGACACCCTTGCATGTGCTTTCCCAGCATGCATACCCTCATATATATTGCAGTAAATTTCAATCCAATGCTCATGCTCATCTACCCTCACTGGGTGCTCATTGTGCGCCCTCTCTTATGCGAAAGGTCATGGAAATCAGCAAGGTGCGATGTGGAGCGGGGGGGGGGGGCAGAGAAGTGATAAACAGTAAGTCTTTGGCACACACTTTTATTAAATAAGCTACTGGGGAATGTTCTTCTGATTGAGGAGCATCCCAAAAAGTAAAAAGTTGTAGCCTTTAGAACTACTTTAAAGATGTGTATGTGTTCTAAAATGTGTGAACATATAATCTGTTGTTCTATTAATAATGCCTTTGTTTTCTCAGAAAAATTTGACAAAATAAATAGTATGAATGAAGAGCTCTTGCTGAGATTGGCAAATGGCCGGCAAGCACCAAATAAGACTCTGAGCATACAGCGAATGTTGGATACATCCATTCCATTGAATGAAGAGTCCAGGCCCTCAGAGGTCACCGCATGGCTGCAGGCAAAGGGATTTAACACGCTGTAAGTGTCATAATTTCCCATGTGCCTGTAAATTAAACATCAAGGCTCAAAATGTGGGTAATAATAAAATGAACAATCCTGAAAGTAGTAGTTGAATCAGCTTTTTCTGTTATACTGGATAATACGTTTTAAGAAAGTCTGTTTTAGTGCCACAGACTTGGGGTACCCAGTTAGTTTGCAGCTGGGGGCTTATTTATATTCCTTCCGCATGCTGTTGGCATACTGTTAGAAGTGATTTGTTCAGTTGTAAAGGGGGGCAAGCGACCTCACCTTTACTCCTACCCAAATCACTACTCACAGAAAGCCAAATATCAGCTCGGCAGGGTTTTCATGCATCACATATGGACAGTTTTGGCTTGACAGGTTTGATATCCATTTACTTGATGCGTCCTCAACTTTTTACCCAAAAAAAATAGTAATAAATTGTGCTTGTGTGCATTATAAATAACTTTTTTTTCCTGGGTTTCCTCTTTCAGAAAATATGTAATTTTATTTTTTGGGCTAGGGTGGGGTAAGTAATCTTCAGGCCTAATTTGTGCTTTTTTTTTTTTTTTTAAATCAGATCGTGTTTATTAAACATTTTTGCACAAACAGATCCCAAAATATTTGTGCTTTTTAATGTGTGCAGAAAAGGAAAAATAAACTCTAGTGGCTGTGGCTACTGATGATAATATTTGTGCTTGTGTTTAGAATGTTTCTGCAAACACCTGTTGTCATGAAATGTAATTACACAAAAAAAAACCACAGCGGAGACTCTCCTAGTCTACAATGGACAATAACATAACATAAAAAATACAATGCACTGAGCTGCACTGCATATGCTAATAATACTAAGTTTCCAGTTCTGTGGTATCACCTACAAATAACAATTAAAAAAAGTAGTTAAACGTTGACTTTTTACCCTTTAAAAATATATGTTGGTTATTTTAGTTTATTGAAGTAAGCTCAATTTGGCTTTGATAGAGAAAACAATTTATGTTAACCCTGAAAATGACTTGCACAAACACTGACGAAGTTTAATTACTTACCAATAATACATAATTTCATTCTTTTGTTGCAGGACTGTAAAATCATTGGGAGTGTTAAATGGAGCTCAGCTGTTTTCCCTACGGAAAGATGAATTTAAAGCTGTGAGCCCAGAGGAAGGTGCCAGGGTATACAGCCAGGTCATGGTACAGAAAGCTCTTTCTGAGTATTGCAGTTTGCAATGATACCTTTCTTATTGGACAAAACAAAATATATAAAAGACAAGCTTTCGAGAGTTGACCTCTCTTCTTCAGGTGAGAAGCAATTTGTATACATGTACATGGACTAATACGGCTTACCCGTTTACATTACACTTCTATATACACAATGTATATGTATAAATATATCAAACAAATATATCAAACATCTTAGTCTCCGCACTAGTGGGATCTCAGAGATCTTCAAGCAGTGGCAGCCTCTCCACACTCCAAGTGGCAGCTCTTCAAAAGGTCAGAGAATCCCTCAGTACATGTAAAAAGATAAAAACAGAGCGAGCGACCCCCCTTTCATGTGTAGACCATTTATTAAGATTAAAAAATAGCATAAGTAAATCAATTGCACGTGGGTTAATAGTAGCCCGTAAGAGCGTCACACTCGTTTTCGTTGGCACTTTTTCCCCACTGGAAGATTTTCAAAAGCAGCCGACGGTCACATCCCTGTTGGCACCGGCCTCTGTGTGCTTATGCTGACGCGTTTCTGGTGCACGCCCCCTTCTTCAGAGCCATTTTCTTTGAAACTGTTTGTTGGAACAATGCAAAATTTGACACATATGTCCATGGCCCCCTCCTCTACCATGGAGTATTAAAGCAATTCAATGCTAAAATAAATATGGCCACCACAAGCCAATCACTTTTAACATTGCAGAAAATTGCATAAACGTGCATTTATATCACTCTTGAAGTATGTTAAACATATCATAACTGAATCATAACTGAAAATCTTAACTGCCAAATACAATATGGGTTCCAAATGTCACCAAGGGGCCACTTTGAATTTGAAAAAAATAAATAAATTCATGAAATCATGTCCAGTTATTGAGGTCTATAGAGAGATCCTGTGTTTTACAAGTCATTTTACCACATAGTTTGGCAGCCATATTGGATTGCGCAATATACAATGCAAAATTTGGCACACATCACCACAGCCACCTCCCCTACTAAAGGTTGGTCATAGGAAGTAAATAGCAACATCATTATGGCCGACACAAGCCAATCACATTTAACATTGCACAAATGTGCATTTATATCAGTACTGAGCCATCTTAAAATTTGATGCACTCAGCAACATACGTGTAAATTTAATATAGATGTGAAAGGTTGTCGGCCCGGTTTGAATTTGGAAAAATATTACAATTCATGAAAATGTACGCTGTTGTACAGGTCTATTGTGAATACATAACTTTGCTATGTATCTCTCTAACTACAATATCTTCTCATGTGCTATAACCAGGCTCTAATGCTTGGCCACCTTTATTGCTGCTTGCAGCTATAATTACTCTGTACTTTTGCCCGATGATCCCGACCGTAACATATTTCCTAAGGTGACATTGCCCATTCACTCTATGCAATATCTGGAGCTGTGTGAAGTTGGCACCCCATGTTTGTAAAACCTGAATAAAAATGTACTATTCGTTTGTGCTGCGTTTGTGCCGCAGTTTGTGCTGGTTTGGATTTTAGGATATTGGACATTCAATTTAATCCAATCGTGCCCACTTTGCATCCCATGTTATTGAATTTTAAAAACAAATAAACCGTTCTTTTTTGCTGCGTTTGTGCTGCAAAAATGAATGTTTTTGCCGCTTTGGGTTCAGAGCTATTGTGCATTATAGTTGCTGAAACCCCGACCACTTTGCACCCCATGTTATTAAATTTGAAAAATACATATGTCATTCATTTGTGCTGCATTTGTGCTGATTTGTGCCACAAAAAAGAACGTTTGTGCTGCTTTGCTTTAGAAGATATTGTGCATTATAGTTGCTAAAACCCCGCCTACTTTGCACCCCATGTTATTCAATTTTAAGAATAAACATACCATTTGTTTGTGCTGCGTTTTGCTGATTTGTGCCGCAAAAACGAACGGTTGTGCTGCTTTGGTTTAGGAGATACTGTACATTATATGTTATCAAACAACACTGACTTTATGAAATCTTACATACAACTAGATTAATTTGTTCCCTGTTTGTGCCAATTTGGTGGATATTGTGCATGATGTTTTAGTTAATATGTATAGTTTTGCCTACTGAGATATTACAAATATTTTTGGCCAGGTGTCCTCAGTCTGCACCCAGTAATTAATTGTAAATGAAAATACACTATTGTGCTGGATAGAGACAATTTTTGGGCGTTTTAGGGGAAATAGAGTAAACCAATAGTTAACATTACATCAGAAAGTTTCATGTGAGGGGGTTAACATTGCAACATTGCGAGCAGTAGATACATGCAAAAAGTTTTTAAAAAACGCCTTAAAAGCGGTTTAAACTTACCGGTGAGAACTGCACAATGCCGGGGTGAGACTGCAAAGCCCTGGTGAGACCGCACTCACCCACTCACAGCCATGGTGAGATCCCACAGCCATGGTGAGACCTGCCCACAACCTTGGTGAGACCTGCACCCACCCGTGCAGAGCCATGGCGACACCTGCACGTAGCCCTAGTGAGACCACACAGCCATGCTGACACCCACACACAGCCCTGGTGAGACTGCACAGCCTTGGTGAGACTGCACCCGCACGCAGCCCTAGTGAGACCGCACAGCCATAGTGAGACCCATGCAAATCCATGCTGACACCCGCACGCAGCCCTAGTGAGACTGCACAGCCCTGGTGAGACAGCACCTACCCGCACACAGTCCTGGTGAGACCACACAGCCATGGTGAAACCCTGCACATAGCCCTGGTGAGACTGCACAGCCATGGTGAGACCCTGCACACAGCCCTGGTGAGACCACACAGCCATGGTGATACCCGCACACAGCCCTGGTGAGACCACACCTCCATGGTGAGACCCTGCAGACAGCCCCGGTGAGACCACACAGCCCTGGGGATACTGCACCCACCTGCATGCCGCCCTAGTGAGACTGCACAGCCATGGTGAGAACCACACACAGCCATGATGAGACCTGCTTGCAGCCCTGGTGAGACCGCACAGCCCTGGTGAGACCACACCTGCCCACACACAGCAATGGTGAGACACACACGCCACCCTGGTGAGACCTGCACGCAACCCTAGTGAAACCTACACTCAGCCCTAGCGAGACCCGCATGCAGCCCTGGCGAGACCACACAGCCCTGGTAAGACCCTGCAAATCCCTGGCCAGACCCCGCTCCTGAGACACCAAATAGGCCTGGTGAGCAACACAGCTTGTGTAGTTTCATATTATTCTGCATTGCTGTATAATGTATTGCTGGGATTTGTAGCCCTCTTTCGCTGGTGGTAGTCTGCATTGCTGTATAATGTATTGCTGAGATTTGTAGTCTTCTATAGCTAGTGATTTTTTGCATTGTTGTATAATGTATTGCTGAGATTTGTTGTCCCTCTACAGCCTGGCATCAATAACAGAACTACAAGGGGTACAGTATTTGCAGCTGGAACTGGCACTCCACCAATGTCCTAAAATCATTAGTCTGTATTGTTTTAGAAAAACTGCCACATGCAAAAAGGTATCGGTATTGGCGAATACATGAGGAAAAGTATTAGTACTCGGTCTGGAAAAAATAGTATTGGTGCATCCCTATTGGTTTACTATATTTTCCCTAAAACACCCACAAATTGTCTCTATCCAGCACAAAAGTGTATTTTAATTTAGAGGTAATTACTGGGTGCAGACTGAGGACACTCGGCCAAAGATATTTGTAATCTCTCAGTAGGCAAAACTTCACATTGGAACAAAAACATCATGTACAATATCCACCAAATAACAAAAACAGGGAACAAATGAATCTAGGATGGAAATAATGTAAAATCTGCGCTTATGGAAGGGGTGAAATATGAAAGCTGCTGCGCTTTGATTTATAGAGACTGTGAAAAAATGAGTGTGCAGCGCTATACTAAGTGAAATGTAATCCCTCTTTCGGGATATATAAAAGTGAAAAAAATATTTTAAATAAATATCACACAATATTAAATAATCTTACAAACCATTATGTACAGTGAATATCCAAAAATTTAGGTTAAAATGATGTGTTCACACTGTGGTGATAAAAATAACTGTAGTCCTTGGGTGAGGGTACAGATAACAACCAATTTTAAAACAATTCCTAATAGTGCTTCATTTCTCAAAAGAAAATTATTGAAAAAATATTTAGTGGAAAAATGATTAACGTTCTGTGCAAAAAAGTTTTCAAGTGGATCCAATAAAACTCTAACAGAATAGAATAAATTCTCCCACACCGACGTGTATATGTGTCTCCAAAGTGTCCCCCTTCGGGGTGCGCACTCACCCCACAGATGAAATGGTATAGCGGAGATGATGAATCAGAGGGTCCACATCCCGGATGTTACTTTCAGCAATGTTGCGTCCAATGCGATTTATATAATTAAAAAGGAAATCTCCTCATGGTGCAGTATACATAAACGTTTATTAATAAAAACATAAGTGACTCACAGTTTAAAACGAAAAATCCGGCCGGTAAAATACAAGCGTCTCAGTCCTCTGCTACTTCCTGGTATGACGTGGTATCAATTTGGATAGGCCCGCCCCGACGCGTTTCGTCACACTTGACGTCCTCAGGGGTTTGCAGGTCTATCCATTGATGAATCTAGTTGTATGTAATATTTAATAATGTGGTGTAAGTGCTCTGACCCTAATGGCAGATACCTATCTGTCAAGGGCTCCATTGAAGGGATCAGGGTCACATTTGCCGTGGTTTATGTTCCAAATTCCCAGCAATTTACTTTCTTTGACATGGTCCTCCCCAAACTACTCACCTTCACAGACGGTATGCTTATACTGGGAGGCGACTTCAATTTCAGCCCTGACCCCACCTTAGACGTATCCACAAGTAAATCGTCCCACTCTTTTGCCGACCTGAAGCATTTTCAACGGGTGTTACAAAATCTCGCTCTCATAGACAGCTGGCGCGCACTTCATGCCTCCGACAGAGACTACAGCTTCTACTTTACTGTCCATGGCACGTTCTCGCGCATAGATCTACTGTTCATTGACCAAT